CCTTTTATGAGACGATTATTTCGCACCAATATACCCAAAATCTCTGCACAGAGAATGAATAACAAGGGCGAGCAGCAGTCCCCTTGTCTGCAGCCCCTCTCAATTTCAAAGAAGCCGGTAGATATCTGATTCTGTGATATGCACGATGAAGCATCCCGGAGCATTGTGGCAATCCACCGCTGCATATCCGCCCCGAAATTAAAGAACTGCAAAGTCTCCATGATAAATTCGTGGCTCAGAGAATCAAAAGCCTTTCGATAATCAGCAAATAAAAAGAGAACGTTTTTGTTGTTTTCCTTTCTCTTTGTTTCCCACAGAATATCATATACAGTTCTGATACAATCTCCAATATATCTATTTTTCATGAAACCCTTCTGAGCCATGTTAATTAATCTTCCCATGACTTTTTTTAATCTGCCAGCAATAACTGTCGACAATATCTTCTGAGACGTGTTCAGTAATGAAATTGGCCTCCAACTGTCCATACATGTCTTTGGTTTGCCTGGTTTAGGAATGAGAGTTAATAGTCCTTGCCTTTGAGTGACCGATAAATGGCCGTTTTCAAACGCATAATTAAAGGATCTCACAACCAGGTACCCAATTTCCGGCCAAAAGGTCTTAAAGAAATTCGCAGTAAACCCATCAGGGCCAGGGGATTTATCATTATGTAAACTTTTCACCGCCTGCGATGCTTCCGAGATGGATATTTTTCCCTCAATGCTATTCTTCTCTTCGTGACTCAATCGAATCGTATTATTTCCCAACAAATGTTCTATATCTTGTAATTTTTTCGACCTCTCTTTACGTTTGTAAATTTCCGAGAAGTGTCTGACTAGAGCCGTCATTATCTCCTCCTGATCTGAAATCAAAGTCCCACCTACCTCTAAACAAGATATATATTTTTGCGTATACTGCCGCTTTTCTAGGCTGCAGAAGTAACGAGATGGAGTTTCCCCATACTCGATCCATCGCGCCTTTGCTCTTAGCAGAACGCCTTTCATCCTGCTCTTACGAAGTTCTTGTAACTCAGCAGAGGCATTATAAAGCTCGTTCAAACTAACATTGTCCCCCTCGTTCTGTACTCTATGTTCCAGTGTTACAATTTCACTAATTAATTTATTTTCTCTTTCCGTTGATAACCGTTTCTTTCTCGCACTATACTGAATACTCAATCCTCTTAAATGGCACAACAAAGTTTCAAAAAATAATTGATCATTCACAATAAGGACTGCGTCTTCGTCGCTATCCATTGTGACGGGGTTATATATTGGCAGCAAATACTGACGCCTGAATTCTCTTATACTTTTGCGAATCATTTCCACAAAATCGTTGTCATCCAAGAGAGAATTGTTGAACTTCCAAAAACCTCCTCTCTGCCTAGCTGCGCGGGACAAAAGTGTTAGTGAGACCAAATTATGATCAGTTCTGTATCCAACTTCGATATCCGCGGTTCCCACCATGCTCATCAGTTCCGGGGAAACCAGGAAAAAGTCTAACCTAGCTAGTCTCAGCGGTGTTGGCTTACGCCATGTGTACCTCCTCGTCGTAGGGTGCAGCTGGCGCCATACGTCACACATTTGTTCAGATTCAATGAAATCTAGTACCACTTTCCTAGCAGTTGGATTTCCCACTCGCCTGTAATGTTTAGTGTCGTTTGCCGGATCTAATGCCATGTTCCAATCGCCAACAAAGACGGAGGGATCCTCTGGCAAACATTCGATTTTTGTGAAAAGTTCCCTATAAAAATTGGGATTATCTTCATTAGGACCATACAGCGCTATCAAGTTAATTTTTCCAAAATTTTCACAGTCAGCACTTATTATCACGTAATTTCCCCCCGGGTCTACTAGAGTACTGCAAATATTTACCCCAGCATTGCGATTTATTAATATTATGATGCCTCTAGAGTTGTTTGTTCCGTAACTGGCTACTAGTTCGCTACCCCATTCGGAACGCACAACATCTATTAAATCTTCTGTGACATGAGTATCAATTAAGCACGTTACCGAATAGTTACTTTTTCTTAAAAAGTCAATTACGTCCCGTCTCTTTTCTGTTTGCCGAATGCCCCGGACGTTCAAGCTCCCAATACTAATGCACCTTCTGTTGATCTTACTCATCGCAAGCTAAACGACCCTCGAATCTTAAAATGTACGAGATCAATACTCTCAATACATGCACAATGTCTCTATATCTTAACTCACGTGAGCAGTAATAATGTTCCAAAAACCTCAACATAATCATAACATCCCAACTCATGAGCACGACTGCTGGCTTCGGCTTCAGAGTCATTTCACGAGCTCAGAAAAGAAAGCCACCAGAAAAAGCCAGTTGCTGCCAGCAATGAAATGGCCTCATACCAACTAAACACATCTTCTTACCACACGAATACTTTAAATGTCCGCCGCTCCGTTTAGCAGCCCCCCCCCCCCACACACACACACCCCACCATTCCCCTCACACAATATCCCCAGATGGATATACACAACGCAACACACAAAGTCTAACGGGACATCTGGCCAATAAAAGGAAAAACATTCAACTCACTAGAATGAATCTCCCCTCAAACGGCAAAAAATGTTCCGCGTGTGGGGCCGGCGGGAAGGGGCGGGGAGAACATGAGGTGGGGGGGGGGGGGGGTCCGGGGGTCAGGAAGTTCTGCCTCCCATGCCACAGAGTAGCTTAGATCATGATACTACACTTCAAGAAAGCAAAACACTCGAAAATTCAACAGATCTACAGTCTTGGCAGCGCGCCAAATAAGTCCACCAGCCCCGGCCGCCGCTTACCGCTACATCAGTTCTCAGCGGGTCGACGCCCCTCGCCGATCACGTGCAGGGCGCCAAGCGTCACGTGACTGGCTCCGCGGTGGCGGGTCGTCCTGCACTGAGAAGCCGAGCTGACGCACCTTGTCCAGAGACTCGACCCTCTCACTCACTGCGAACTTCTCCCGCTTAAAGAAAACATGGCCGCCGCGCGAGAACACTGTATGTATCCTCTTCTCCTTTTTCGCGTCTAGTAGACTGCGATAAATCTTGTTGCGAAGAGGAGTCAGACTCTCGTTCACATACAGATTCTTACCGGCCAACTCTAGCCGGCGCCACATTACCTGGTCGCGAACACTCCCTCTGCCCGAACGGACAAAACGCACTATTACGCGATTGTTCGCCCCTTGCAGTCGGTGAGCTCTGTCTATATCACTCTCGGACACATTCAGTCCACCGAAGCTGCGATTCAGCACGTCCACCACGAGAGCGCAGACGTCCTCCCGTTCATACGATCCGGCGTCGCGTCCCGCCCGCCGAGGAGGCGCCTCCCCGGCCCGTGCCGCTGAATCCGCCCGTGCCGCGGCGGCCGACCCGGGACTCCGCTCGCCCGGGGCGCCGACCGGCTGGTCCGCCGGACCACCGCCGGCGGAGGCGCTCGGCCGGGGAGGAGGGGGAGGCGCATTGCGGGCCGCCATGGCACCGCCCGACAGCACCAGGCAGGGAAGCCGGGAGATCATCTCGGCCTCTTCTGTCCTTGCTTGTAACCTGCTGATCTCATCCCCGGAATCCCGTAGCTGGCCACGGAGATCTTCTATTACCTCATCCCTAGTTTCGATGTGGCTCTCCAGTTCTCCCAACCTTACACCAAAAGCGTCCAACTGCGCCTGAAAAGTCGTTCTAAATTCATGCAACTCACTGGACACAAAAACAGTCAAACGGTTTTCGAGTCTTTCCAGAGCGTCGTCGAAATGCTCCTTAAGCGATACCTGAGACCGCTGCGCCGGACTACGACTCGGCTCACCGCCACGATCCAACGCTCCTCTCTTCCCCTTCGGAACCGGGGCATCTCCCGACTCAGAACGGTCTCGTTTACCGGCGCCGTCGTCATAAGTCCGTACAAGCTCACTCACCGATGATCCGCGGCTCATTGATCGCTGCGGGTCCGAGTCCTGCTCCTCATGAACACCGTCCCGTTCCTCCGGTCGCGGCATGACTTCCCTTTGCTCAGGTAAAGGGAAGTCATGTACTGGCACTCACTGATGAAGCCACACAGCCGTGCTCACGAAAACAGTCACCAGGTCATGCTAAAGCACTGCAATGACCATTAATACAGTCCCAGCTCGCTCCGGCCGCCTCCCGGTCACTCCGTCCGCCGCCGGCCGAGACACGCCGCAGCGGAGCGCGGCCGACCGGACCGTTCGCGCCAGAGGTCGCTGGTGAACTGATGTCGATGCGTTTAGTTGGTGAGCATGATCAGAGTGTAGGATCTAGGGACACCTAGACTTTACCTATCGGTCATCGACGCATGAAAATGCTTCAAAGGAGTCATTTTTCATTTTTTCAAAGGACGTCGTGGACGACAAAGGATGACACTGCCGGTTGAAAAGTCCGATGGACATGGAGTACCAATTGCCACAATACCTGATCGAATCGACCACTATTTACCAGGCTGCCGTGTCTTCCAAAACAAACTTCAGCCCATTAGCGTGCTACCAGCCCTGATTGTTGAAACGTTACAATAAAATAAGCCTCAGAATGGTTACAACCCAAAGATACCAAAGCAGTCAAACTGAGACAAAAGGAAAATCACCTTGTCAGTTGTCAGGAGTTGGAAGAGTGCAACACTCAATGTTCGGCGATTTGCGATACCCTAAAGGTCTCCGATGTGAGTCACTCATGGGTGGAGCAGGCCAGACACCATGTAGCACAGTCGTGATTTGGCTGGCTGGCCATGCAATGCATCTGCGACCCCATGGTAACAAGATACATCAGCATGGGTTCTGCCTGGTACGTACAAACACTGCATAGCAACAAAGGAACTCAACTTTCTATGGCTTTCTGCTCGGGTTCGTAATCCGTATCAAAATACCTAGTTATTTCAATTTCATTCCGGAGGTCGGCGACGTCAGACCAGTATGAGTAGTTCCCGCGCCACGCCCCCCTCTCTCCCCATCCGCCGGTATCACGGTTCGCTGCCTCCCCAGCCCCTCCCCCTCCCCCACTGTTACATACCTGTCTCGCGGGTCCACCGACTCGCTGCGCCGTCGCCTCGCCTGCTGTCTGTAGGCGTACACCAGCACCACTACACCAACACAGAGCAGCACCAGCACGGCGCTGAGCGGCACCAGCGGCCCGCCGGTCAGCGGACTGGCCGTGGTGCCCCCCTCGTCCCCCTCGCGGTGCACCATACGCTGGTTGGTAGCCGGGATTGGTGTGCAGGCCGCCAGCCAGCCGTGCGAGCACAGACAGGCGCGGAACAACACCGGGCTGGCGTGCTCTGACGAGTTGGAACGAGCCAGCATCTCTCGGCACGTGCGCAGGATCTTCATGGCCTCTTTGGTGGACATTTCGGCTGTGTCGGGCGTGGGGCGCGCTGGCGGGGGTCGCTGTGGGGCAGAGTACCGGACCGACCCACACTCGCTCGCGCCATTCGCGCCGCGGACTGCGGGCTCGCGGCGCGCTCCGCCAGCTGTCGGCGGCGCCGCAGTCAGCTGACCAGCTGCCACCGGCAGCGGCGCGCTCAGGGACGGAGGCGGGGGGAGCTGCCGGACACGGGGAGACAGTGCGGGAGAGGGAGAGGCTGGGAGCGCCACTGACGCAGAGAGCTGGTGACGAATGGTGACAGCTACTACGTGCAGGGAGGGGAGAGGGGGCGGAGAGGGGAGGGGAGGACAGGGGACGGTTCATTGATCTCCGTCCCAGCCACGTGGGCCCCTCACGCCCAGTAACAATGAGTTGCGACTTGCGCCTTGTCAGTCGGCCGGTGTCGGTTGTCAAGTGCAGCGGGTTTCTCTGTTTCCGTTATTCCTGCCCGTGAGGCCGCTAAAGGGGACGGCGAGGGAACACGTAACGGTTCAGACGGCCTCGTGCAAACCGTCGTACGGCAGTCTGCAGAGGACCTTGGTCGCAGCCATTCTCAGCGCGGTATCCACCGACAATTTGGAGGCCCCTACCCTGAGGTCTTCCGTCTTCAGTTCAAGGTCTATAATGCAGTATGCATAGGGGACACTGGCCGATCCAGAGCAACGGTGCTTTGGCCTTTGAGAAGCTGCAGAGGGGAATAGGGATGCATTGCATGCTCCCTCTCCCCCCCCCCCCAAAAAGGATTCTCCAATACCAATTCGAATAAAAGATTCTTTGAAATTCATTTTCTTCTGTCATGCTTTATGGATAAAAATGTCTACTATAACAAAGTGCGCCAACCTTTTCCTGTGTTGGTTAGGTGCCGAGCTCATTAGTGTTCTGCGTTCGCATGCGTCACCTTACGAAATTGTTCGACAAGCGCTGCCCGGACTATATGCTTCTTTGGGGTGGTATTTTGCAACGTTTATGAGTTAACGCCACGGTAACTAACATTTTAACGGGAAACGGCGCGGTCTTTTCATTTGGCTGAAAATCGGTAAAATCGAGCAAGAGGCATGTTATTGAAAAATTTCGGCCGCACCGTTTCCCGTTAAAATGTTAATTGGACGTTAGCGCGTTAACGGTGCAAAATACTACCCCAGAGGTACATTTTCGGGATCAGGGCATCGAGGAGGCCCTGCATACCGATTTTCAGCCAAATATGAAAGACCCCGCCGTTTCCAAAATGTGATTGGCCGTTAACTCGTTACCGGTGCAAAATACCACCCTAAAGAGGTACATTTTCGGAATTGGCGCATTGCTGCTGAGTCGGAGTCGGAATCGATTCTGGAAACAGAACAGAAGCTGCAGGTCAGTCAGTGGCGGATCCAGGGGGGGGGCAAAATGGGCATTTGCCCCCCCAAACGGCATGATTTTAACATTACGCCTATGACGATGCATGGAAAGAATCGATAAATTTTTATGGTTTGCCCCCCCCCCCCAACCTCTGAGCTGGATCCGCCTCTGAGGTCAGTCAGAGTCATCGAAAATCCATCGACTCCCCTGACCTGGCAGGGCTGTGAAGTCGGAGTCGGAGACGGAGTAGGAGTTGTAGTCGGTTGGAGACGACAGTTCTGTCTGGACAGAACTCCGGAGACGGAGTCGGAGTTGGAGTCACCAAAATCCATTGACTCCGCAGCCGTTTACCTACCTATAGAGGCACCCCCCAGTCATATCCAAGGCCGCCTTATAAGTTGTCATATCGGTGAGTGCCCCGACCCGATCACCAGCTGTGCTCCCATATCCCATCTGGCATCTCATCGACATCAGCAAAGTTCACGCATCGGCAGTCGGCACTGCAGTCACCCTTAGGCCTAGTGGGAAGTGGGAACTATAA